CCTGCTGGAGGGCAGGAAGGCCCTGCAGACGGATCTGGAAAGGCTGGACTGATGTTCAACAAGGCCAAGTGCTGGATCCTGCAACTGGGTCACAAGAAACTGCATGAAACACTACAGGCTTAAGGAAGAGTGGATGGAAAGCTGCATGGCAGAAAAAGACCATCTGGGCCACCCATCATGCTGGGCACCTCAGCCCCAAGCTGTCATTAGAGATCAGAGAACCCATGGAGCCTATAGCTGCAGGGACACTGGGGCTGCAAAGGACATGCCAACGGGGAAGTTGGTCCACAGCTAGAAGTGAGAGCCTCCTTCAGGACTCAACCCCCTCTGGGCTCCCACCCCCACTCCACCCCCCAAAGGTAAGTGAAAAATCCTAACAATAGTGGTAATTCACCAATGGCCATGACTCCAGAGGGTCAGTCACCCCACACTGCCAACCACTTATTCAACATCTCTTGTCTTTCTTTACAGTGCCAGACTAGAGTCAAGCTCAACAGGCTCCTTTCCCCACTGATTCCAAGCCCGTTCCTTTGGCTGTGGTTTTGCTGGATAGTAGATAGGTACAGTGCATGCATGTCACCAATTAATGATGAAGCACTTGGCTAGGTATCAAACATACTTTTGTGTGTCCCTTTTCCAGGTTAAGGTAGCCTATCCACCCTGGTCAAAATTGGTAAAATCTTGTCCAAAACTGATGGTATGTGTTATGTGACATGTCATGATACAGCCCAAACTGACATGTGACAATGCCTGCAATTCACCTAGATAGTACTGACATCATCACAATGGTCACTGGCATGGTTCCCACTGTGCACAGGTTATAACTGGCAGTTTGGCATCTATCAAATTCACTATGGAGGGGGCTATGGCCAACCATGACCTGCATCAGGGTCTGGTACTGACATGTCTGACCTGGCTCTACACCCCCTGGGTTGCAACCAGCATGGAGCCTGATGGCAGCAGCTCACAGAGGTCAACTCTGGCTTGCCTGACCAGCGTAAGCCCATCCTGTGGGGGTCACATCAGTTTTAGCAGCACTATCCTCCAAGCTGCTCACTCTACCCAGCTTTTCCATCCCATGGGTCAGGGCGTGGTGGCTTGTGACATGATCACCATTTGTTTCATCTGAGATATTATCAAGTGGGCAGCAAATGCCAAATGCCCTGATAGGGAAGGAGCAGCTGTAATTCACACACAGCAGAGATCAACTCAGTTACCCCTAAGGGCATCCACAGGAAGATACAACCTCTGTACCTCAGCCCAGTTAGCAATCATAGTCCCTTCTTAACAGAGTAGTAGATTACTCCTACCCTTTTCCTGTGCTTTATTGAATTTCTTTGCTTTGACACTTAGAGCACTGGGCAGAAATCACATTGCATCAGCACCTGCCCCAGGCCTTCGTGATGCTTTAACAGTTGGATTCCCCTGCTCCGCATCAGTTCTTAGCTGGCTGCTAGGCTGCAGCTGAGGCAGGGCTGAACATGAGCCAGCAGTGTTCCCAGGTGGGAAGAGCATCCTGGTTTCTATCACAAAGATAAGGGAAGCAACTGTGTCCCCCTACTGGGCTCTGGTGAGGCCACATATTGATACTGTGTTGTTTTGGATTCCTCACGACAAGAAAAACAATGAGTCCCCACGGCATGTCTGGAGAAGGGCAAGGAAGCAGGTGAGGGTCTCGAGCACAAGTCTGATGAGGAGCAGCTGAGAGAACTGGAGTTCTTTAGCCTGGAGAAAAGGAGGCTCAGGGGAGATCTTATTGCTCTCTACAACCACCTGAAACGAGGCTGGGGGTCAGTCTCTTCTCCAAAGTAACAAGCAACAGGACAACAAGAAATGGCCTCAGGTTGTGCCAGGGGAGATTTAGTTTTGATATTCGCAAAAATTTCTTCACGCACAAGAGTTTTCAAGCATTGGAACAGGAGGCCCAGAAAAGTGATGGAGTCACTCTCCCTGGATCTATTTAGAAGATATGTAGATATGGCACTTAAGGGATTGTTTATGGTAGATGTGGCAGTGTTAGGTTAATGCTCGTTGGACTCAATGATCTTAAAGGTTTTTTCCAACCAAAATGATTCAGATTTAGGTAATGTCCTCTGACCAATGCATATTTCTATTACCTACCTCACTGTTCCCCTGAAAGAAAAAGACTGAAGTGTGTGCTCATAACACATTTCTAAATGATTACTCCACCATGTGTATAGAGGCTCCCCTTGGCATATTTTAAAAAAGGCATCATTTATCTTATTATGACATACAGAAGCCATTAATCCCATTTTAATAATTTAACTGCTGCCTACATCCAGTTTAAAGTCAGCTGACATGGCAAGAACTGGATGGCTGCACAGTTGTGCTACAGGCCAAAACACTGGGTTGTTTGCCCCCTTCCCTCCCAAGGGAAGCAATTCTGCCTCTCTGGTGAGACCCCAACTGGAGCACTGCATTCACCTGGAATACCAACCACAGGAAAGACATAGACCTGCTGGGTCAGGTCCAAAGGAGGGCCATGAGGGCTGGAGCACCTCTCCCATGAAGACAGCCTGAGAGCACTGCGACTGTTCAGCCTGGAGAAGACAAGACTCCAGGGAGACCTTACTGTGGCCTTCCAACACTAAAAGGAACCTGTAAGAAAGATTGAGACATTTTAATAGGCCCTGTTTCGATAGGACAAGTAATGGTTTTAAACTAAGAAGGCAGATGTATATTGGACAGAAGGAAGAAATGTTCTTCCATGAGGTCAGTGAGACACCTGAACAAGTTGCCCAGGAGTGGTGGATGCCCCATCCCTAGACACATTTATGGTCAGGTTGGACAGAGTTCTGAACAACCTGATCTAGTAATATATCCATGCTCATTACAGAGGGGTTCACTAGGTGGCCTTTAGAGGTCCCTTCCAACCCAAGCCATTCTATGAAATGAACTATGTATGAATCTGCAGTTTTAAGCACAAATTCTTCCCCAGGGAAAGAAGACTTCTATTGAAATTGGTGGGTTTATCTGTTTTAATTGTTCTAGGAAGACCTTAAAAGAAGCTTAAGCGTTTGTTGAACACTCACTCATAGTGTAATAAAGGAACAAGCAGAAATCAAGGGGGGAAAAGCACTTGGTTAGGTTTGTTCTAGCCAAAAAAAGAAAGCAGACTCCTTAAGACAATCATAAAACAGCTGGGGTTGGAAAGGACCTTTAAAGGTCATCTAGTCCAAACACCAAATAGTTCAAATACAATGAAATTTGAACACCTGACCTAAAGAACTACCTACAAGAACAGGTTAAGTTAAAAGCTTAGAGAGCATGATTACACACACCCCAAACACAGCAGGTTTACTGCAGACACATAGGCACTGTCTTACAAGCAGTACCTCTAACACCCCCACTACATGAGAAATATATTAACTACAGCATGCATCTTTATTTGACTACATATTCAGAAGCTCTGAGATTCCATACGGTAATTGTTTTAGGACTAGCAACAGGAATAGCCTTATTTTCAGCTCTGACACTGTATTTTACAGCAGTAAATTTTTAAATATAAATCCTGCCCTGATTACTGTACTTGCTACAGTCTCCCAACCTTAAGGTAAACGAGCAGAAAACTCCCTTTCATGTTTGTCTTGAGCACCAAGTACATATAAGTTCATATTACTGGAAAAAACCTCCCTTTGAATTTATTCACAGAAGTTAAAACCAGAAGAATCACTGGGGCAATACAAAGGCCTAGTTTGTATAAACTCAGCTGGGGTCTTCTTTTTTAAAACAAGTTACAGGTAAAGTATGTGTACTTGTGTCCCCTGGAGAAGCCTGAATTTTAGGAGTAGGAATAAAAAAGTAAAGCTACTTTAGGATTTTCTTGAGATGCCATATTTCATCTGAAGAAGCCTCATTGTCTTGATAGCCTGGATCACTTCTTTAAAAAATTTTACTTTGTTAGCAACATTGAAAGTGGCAGACACTAAAGCTCTTAAAATATTCATCTATCCTAAAACACTGGTCTACCAAGTCATTCCTGCAAGGAATACAGACCGTATACCTGTTAGAAGACTTTTAGGAAAAACCATTTTCTTTGTAGCAATCGAGGATCAGATCACCTTCATGTTAAGACACGATTCATCTTGGTTTAGCACACAAATACCTAGAAGGAAAAAAATATTTCCATTTCGACAGGGAATTAGTGTCTGTGCCAGACAATCATTCTAATGGAGATCAGAGAATGCCATCTGTCTGGCTGTCTCATTCCAAGAATAATTCTGTCAGGGGGCAAAGCTTGTAAAGAAAGTATGAAAAGGCCAACAAGCAGCAAACTGGGGCACTTCAGCCAAGAACCATAATACAAACCAAGTGTCATAGCTCTAGAACAGAAAAAATACAATGCTTGCATTTACTTGGTATCTTGTCTAAACAACTGCTTCTTTTGACAAAGAGTTATCTTAATATTTAAAGGAGACTCAATGCTTTTGAGTCTCACAGAGAACATACATGCTGTGCACAAGCCAAGGCAGATCCACCAAGCCTCACTACTGCCTGCTGGCTCACAATTAACACAGTCCACTTGATTTGAGAATACAAGAGGTACAAATTTGCAAGAAGCTTCAACCATGCACCCATTTTAGAAATGCCTTCAGCCACACACACATTAAATAGATGTTTCAACTTTCAGAATGCAACACAAAAGAGACTTACCTACTGTTTTTGTGCTATGTTTACAGGGTACTTCAAAAAAACATTATAAATGCATGTTCTCAGTTATAGCTTGTTAGTTTTACTGGCATATGCTCCAAAAGATACAATTCCAAGACAGGAATTTAAAAAAAAAAAAAACCAACTCAATTCCCTAAGGCTGTGGCTAACAAAACCAGCACAACATGACGTAATGGAAGAGAAAATAAATGGCACTTGTAAGGCCTTGGCTATGCATTTCCCTGTGACAAACCTTCTCAGCATTCCTGAAAGAATAGTTCGTATCTGGCACCACTGTTTCACACACACTGAACCATCAACTCACTCACCAGATGGTCCTGGGAGTAAAACTTGGTCAAATAAACAGAAAATGTGCACTCTGTGTAGGTATCTTGAGGTTTATGTCTTCTTTTGGTGTTGAGATTCTTCAATGAGAGCTACACATACGCATTTCTGTGTTTTCTTATAGCTCCAGCATAAAGCTTTAAATACAGCCCAGGGCAACCAAATCAACTAGAACATCAAGTCAAAATGACATCTGCATTTGCAAAGAAACAATTATCTTTACCAGTAAACTGACACTGTCCCCCACCCCCCCTTAATTAAATTTATCCAGAACACTCCTGAGAAGCAGTCCTTGGACATTTGTAGTAACTGGAATTCTTGTACAGGGTGTTAAGGTTTTAATAGCTTTACCAAATTATTAGTTAGATTTGTCACTAGAAATTTAGGTAGCCAAGGCAAAATAAAAATTTATTTCATTGTTTCAAAATATACAACTAAAATATACATGATTATTAAAATAGTCTTACAGCTAGTCTTTGATTAACAGTTTGCATCACACAACAAAAGCATATTTTAAATGCAGTATTTTCTCAGAATTTTAACATACAGATATTTTTAGGATTTTTTAATTAAAAAAATCACACTCTACTGAGTAGCCAATACAGATAATTACATTCTTGCATTTTAAGTTACATACAGAAATGTCAGGATTCTCTTCATTACTTACCCAAAACCACTAGTGATGCTCAAGACTGCAGGTACATGAAGTGTCAGTAATGAACATAATCACATTGATTATGTTGTCTAAAGGCAACTAGGACTTAAGAAGGGCTTCAGCTCAGTTACATCTTCTTTTGCCCTGATTTAAGAACTCAGTTTTAAAATACAATCTCTTGGGTAAATAACTATTTCCATTTTTAAACTGCAAAAATTAACTGGTCAGGGTGAGTCAAATTGTGGTTAAAGCAAACCTGTGTAATATGCAAAGTGTACGTTAAAACTCAGAAGAAAATCCACATGCAGCAAACAAACTGGGGAAGCGTGCAAACAATGTAACTGAAGTTTGTCAACTCTTACAACTTTAAACTTCAAATTACCCAAGCAGGAACTGTATCAAAACAGGTCGAACATGAACACAAACTGAACTTGAAGCAACTATGAGAAATATTATGCTGAATGTATTGCTGAACTGCAGTAACATAGACTTAATTAATTTAGATACTCCGAAGTCTTCATTCATCAAACACTTTTGAATCCTGTCCTTCCTTTTCGGAAGTGATACACTTTGCTCTCCTGGGATCAGATAGAAGACAGGACAGGGGGGAAAAAAAAAAAATCAGATAATCAGAATAAGGTAACTGAAGTTTCATGAAAACTATATTGAGATACTCTAGTTTATTCCCCCTCTACAAAACTGATAAATACAGCCTCTGTATTCCCGTTTCAGAAGACCAGCTACCAACCTGAACTACAATTTACTGCTTAAAGCAGAGACAAAGCACAACTAGCCACTATCTACAGTAGGCAGGTAACTAACAAGACTATCAAGGCTTGTAACGCAACATCCTCTGTCCAAACTACATAGTAACCCACTGCTTTCAGCCATTTGTCACTGAGAAATGACTACCCAGACTTATGCTCTTAATTGTCCATTAGCAATGTTCAGCAATTCATGCCATCTCGATTAAAGCCACTGAATCCAATTTCAGCACTTCTTTCCAGCATTAAGTAATTGAGAGCCAAACATGTACAAGGAAGGAAAAAAATTCAAATGGCATTCCAGATATTAATCCCTTCATCTTTATTGTATCCTGTAGGTGAACAAACCGAAGGGCAGCTGTATTTTAAGATTTCTTTTTGCTTTCGCTACATACCTTCATGTTATCGTCTTGTGACAGAGAGTCATTCCTCAGCTGGTTCTCAGGATTAGACAGACAGGACACTACTGTTTGCATGCCCCTGTCCACAGACTTCTGAAATACAGTTACAGGTGCATCAATACTGACTTTCTTAGTTAGGGCACTACTACCTAGCAATGCTGGTGTGTCATAGGGTTCACTTGGCATTCAGGATTGTTCTCAAATGCCTTATGTTCCCTGAAGTATTTGTCATTTTTTCCTCCTCCCTAACTTTTAATACTGGTAACTCATTATCCCCCCTTAGTGTTACATTATCTCCCCTCAGTGGAATAGGCTGGCTGGCAGCTGAAAAACAAAGTCTGTTTTAGAAAACTGAATTCAGAGTCAACTATTGGCTATACTGGGGTCAGCTTCCACAAAACAGTGAAAAAGGGAGTAACCACTACCAACAGATGCTTGAAGCTTAAAATAAATCTAAAACAGCAGGTAGTGCTATCTAATATGCTTTTTTAGTACCTGTAATTTTCCCTAAAATTATTACAGATTAAAGTAAAGGTGACAGGTAAAGTTCTGTCACTTAAAAACATTAGTATACTTAATCAAGTAGATCACACATTTTATACAGCCCTCAGCATTGCAGACAAGTACTAACAGTTTAAAGGAAACATAAGACTTCTGAAGTTGTACACATCAATCAGATATACAGGACTGAGCAACTGGCTAAAAGTGGCAGCTATAACCTAAATTCCTAGGATACCTGTCAGAGGCCCTTGACCCAAGCCACGTAATCTTAATGTGCAAATTCCCGGGAATAGGATTTATGGTAATGAACATCCAAGTTTTGAGACAAAAGACCTTACCTTTTGTGGGCTGTTAGCAGGCAAGTGCATGGGCTCAGGAACAGCACATTCCGTCTGTATAAATCCCGGATCCTCAGAGTGATGGTTTACCGATGCATAAACCTGTATAGTTTTATAAGTATTGCAATACTTCAGTAACACTGCATGCACAGTTATATTCTCACTGATCCTCATCTATCTACCTGTAAAGCCGTGCCAACTATATCTTCAAACTTTTGCCAGAAGTGTCCTGAGTGGGGAAAATGCTGTATCCTGATCGGTTTTATTAAGGCAGTTACTAATGGTACTTTCAGTTGCTTAACAGAGACAGTTCAAGAAGAGCTGTCGCTCATATAATCAAGCTTAAAACATCTAATAATGAAAGCCCTACGCAGTCCTACTCTAAAGACTCTTTGACCTGCTACCATTTAATTGTTAAGTGACATACTGTGGCTGTATCATACTCATAGATGTTATTGAATAAAAATTACTTCAAGCCAACAGGGTAATCAGTATTTCAGCGACTTCTGAAAACTTTCAGAAAAAGAGAGTATCATTCAGAATAAAATTATGTATTTGAAACGGCACTCAATAACCACAAGATTATACCTAAAGAACATAAAAATGCCCCAAGAAACAACTTTAAGTTCCAACACTGCTAAAGAAATACACAGTATTTTTCCTCTCTCCATAGATGTCACTTGTATAAAGGCATAGAGCGCAAGTAATTTCCTAGAAGCCAGCAGCACCATCTACAGTTTGTAGCAGCCTGGGAAACTATTTTTAAAAGCTGTTGAAAGGAGCCAAAAATAAATCAGTATTTGCAAAGAACACTGAAACTTTTTAAATTTGAAAAAACATTGTCCATCAGGTCATCACTTATTTTTCCTTTGACTTTTCCTGAAAAGACCAATTCCATTCATGTTAAAATTCCAGAGTTCTGTGACCAGAATGTATAGAGTAATGCCATAAAACAGTAGGTCTGTTCTGTCTGGTAACTCAAAAAGGCACCACTTCAGTAGAAATCTTAAACAATTACATGCTCTTGTCAGCAAGATTTTTATAGATCTGATTACATACAGATCCAGACAACAAATACTTTGATTTTTTTAAGTATCAAACAGTAAAAACCACGTGCTAATTGAGAAGACAGTTTCAGAAGTTTAACTTTGTAGACTCACCAGACCAGGAGGCATAACATAACTTCTTTGCTCCCCAGCAACCCACTGTGGTTGACCCTTAAACAAATATTGGACAAGAACCAGCTTTAATCCATTAATTTCCAACACAGACAAGTAACTGCTCTGCAAGAGCCACCATTTATACCATTTCATGTTTGGATTTTTCACTAAACAACAGTCTATACCTTTACGTCCAACAAAACTGCTTATGTTATTCAACTGTCTCCTTCCTCTTCTCATTCCAAATTAAAAAAAAAAAAAAAGGATTTCTAAACATTAGGGAAAAATAAGGGAAATCACAGAAGCCACACTGAAAACAATCTCAAACCTCTAGCTGCTTCCAGTTACTAAACTTCTAGTTTAATTTTAGTGACAGGACTTACCCACACGTCTCACTTCTGAGTTCAAAACCCACTATCAGTAAGTGCCTTCTCTGATGTTTTTAGAGTGCCGGAGTGCATCCCCCCTATATACACCCCACATTTGTACAGTCTGCTAAGACTCTTAAATAACTTAACACCAGCTACCCTTGCTACACCTGTACTAACACAAAGCTCCTTCCCACAAGAAAAAGTACTACTAATCCATGTACTTTTTTCCTAATTTGGAAATTGTTTTATCACTGTATATTTAAGGAAACAAAAACTATATTCTATTAAAAAAAAAAAAGCATATACTAAGGTATTCAACAGTTTCCATCTTATTAGAATAAAAATATCACTAGGTTTTAATATCTGCAAAGGAAGAGCTGAAGGAAAACAGAATTCACAGTAAGATCAGACTTCGGTTAACATTTCATTACTGTTTTGTCAGGTATCAAATAGCCTTTCTGCTGCTACTAAAGCTTTACATACCTGATAGTTATAAGCCGGTTGATATCCTATGGGAACTTGCTGCTTTAGCAGTACAGTTGGTGATGAACTGTATGGATATGGCTGCAAATAAAGCTTTGTTTTTAAAACTGCAAGTCTGAAGCAAGATAAAAGTACTTTTATTTGTAGAGGTATTAGCTAGAAGCACGTTTTCAGAAGTATGTGGCTATACTGTTACGTCAGTTCCTGTTCAGACTAGGCTCATACTTAAAAAGAGACCCTTACAGATTTCCCATGGGGCTTGGCTTCAGCACTTCAGGCACTAATAATCTCTAGTCAGTGAGATTCTAAAAGTGTCTTATACATCTAAAAATCCCATTATCTCCTTGTAGCTGATCTTTTAAGTCATTTCAGAAGAATAAGTTATGCCATAAACTTTCCGTAGCAGACCTGAAGCAGACTAACTACTATAGAATAACGGATACAGCCTGAAGATCAGTTTCTAGGAGCCAAAGGAAAGCTAAATACTCCAGTTCAGACATTTTACAGTATTTCTTCCCTGTAACTACCCTGACACAACATTAACCTGGAACCTTTCTTCAGAAAATAGTTAAAGGCGCATTCCAGCATTTAAGTGAGTATTTTTCTTCCTACGCTATTCTACTTTCCCAATAAACTTAGGAGGATCAGCAAGAACACTGTTATCAAGCTCCCTGCCTTATTTCTGTGAGTCACTGCAGTTTGCTCTTCTTCACTTGCTTAAAATATAGAAAGCAGAATCAGCTGGTAATTAATACTGCCCTGTTGCATTGCCACAACACGCAGGCTAATGCAGTAAGAGACTAATCTGGTCTGTTCACAGTACAGGACTCACTCTACCTACACCTTATCCGAAGTATCAATACAGTGATGCCCTGCAGGCAATACTGTACTGGCCACGGCTACCAGCAGCAGATGCAGTAAAACAGCATCTGCTGTTCTTAAGACACAACAGCAGTTTAAAACCAAGAATGTGCTTGGCCAGGAGGAGACAAGAGTACCAGAGACAACTTCTGGCTCCATACTTGTTTACAAAAATACATTTTGAAGCTTGTAGTTTATTCTGAGGCAGGACAGCAATACATTAAAATCTGGACAGATTTGATTTGTTAAGTACATCAACAAGAAACAAGATCACTTAAGAACTGTTAAATAATTCAATCTTAGCTTCACCTTCAACAGTTCTCATTCTTAGAAGGTATTTTCCTCTTTATAAAGAGGTCGCAACACAAGCAGTTTTTCAAGGTTGCTGGCATTCTTTTGAAGTGGCTTGAAGTTGTGTGCTTCTTACTCAGGAAGATAATATGAAAACAAGGAGGCAGATCAGATTGGAATCTGATCTGACTGCACCTTCAAAAATATTTAATGATTCAAAATCAGTGACATGAACAGCCTTACCTGAACATACGGTGTTACTGGGCTCATTATAGGTGGAGGTTGAAAATACGTCTCTGTATTCTGACTACCCCATACACTATGGAACTGTGGTGGAGAAGGACCAAGGACAAATGGTCTGGGATGTATGGAAGAAGCTTGTTCTGAAGCAAAGAAAAGATAGTATTAAGGCCTTTTCACATGTATTTCATTAGGAATCTGAATTTAAGCTGAAAAAAATCTTTACTTTTGACTTTTAAATTTAACTCAACATTAACTGTATTATACTGTGCTACCAACTCAAGTTTTATTATCACAGCTGTACATCATTTATACAAGTGAGGTCACAGAAGTCAGAACCAAGGCTTAATTGTAACATACATACTGCATCAGATAAAGAGTATCTGCAAGCATATTGATGTATAATTAAGAAAAAAACCTGTTAATACATATTTGTTATATGAACATTTTTATTTAGATATACTTACTCAGGTTTTGTTGCTTCCTAATTGCTGGTCCCAGTTTCAGCTTTTTGCCGTGGAAGTTGATTTGTGTCTGAAAGACAGTTAATTCTCTGTAAGGAATCAGTGAGGTGACTGGTTTGTGGGATTTTAAGGAGACTGGGCTCTGCCTCTACACCACAGTACCATCAACTCACAAACGGGTGCAATTCTCCTCTCCTTCTTAACACTGTATGTCTTTTATCTTTAATTTCCTGCAGTGCCCTCAGCGCTCTCATTTGCCTACTCACTGCCTCCACACTTGTTTCATACCACTTGCCTTAATAGCAACATGTGCTACTAGTAGCTTGCAACCACATATTAGTGACTGTCAGCCCTGTGGTTTTATACATACAAGTTTTAATTATTCTTGCTTCAGTGAGAATATTAATACAGAGTGACCACAGCCTAGGTTCCCTTGAAACTCTATTTACATTGCCACTTCCCTTCGTTCCCACCAACTTCCTGACAGGCTTCACGTAACATGTTAGAAACTGTCCACCTATACTAAAGGAAATGACTGCTTCAGAGAGGGAAGTATTTCAATACATTTAATTTCACAGTTACTGTACTCAGTTTGGGGAGCAAGAGGGAAAACAAAAAGCTCTGTCCATCAGAACCAAGTAGCTGATCTGGCTGTAAGCACTGAGATTTAAAATTTCTCTGATAATGAACTGTAAGAGCAGAAGGGCTGTAACAGTTCTACCCCTCACCTCCTCTGTTAACTACGGGAAAATTTATAACACGTGAACAGCCACAGCACAGTTCAAGAAGCTTAAAAAATACTTGCACTCCAAGTAGCACCAAAACGCACAAAATACTGCAAGAGAAACATACTGCAACTGTTGAGATGTCAAGTAAAAAACTGTCTTCCATGATAATGTTATCTCCAATAATAAAAGGTCTGTGTATCTGACATAAGGACAAGGATTCTATGACAATCATCCACTACAAAAAGCAAGCATCCAAACACACCAAGGCTAACGCTGACTTTGTTTCTTACTTAAGTAAATACATAAAGATACTACCACCGGCAGATAGTTTATCAAATTTACTTTTTCGGCTGCCCTAGACTTTCCTAGTTCTAACTTACTCTACGTAAGTTGGCTTCCCTTGAATCTGTCTCTAGCCTTCATAAATCAACTTCAAATAATTTAGCAAAACAGCTTACTTCTACTATTTTTTGAACATCCACATTCTCCAGGAAAGACACAAATCCATATCTAAAAAGGAAAAACAGGCTATTCAGTGATCAGCGTTTGATTTGATTGTTAGAACAAGACCAGTTAACAACGTATATGCCAGGTATGTTATACTGCACATCAAGTAGGACATCAGTTTATGATTCAGCCCAAGAAAGTATTTACTGCTAACTAGCAGCATCTACTACTAGGCCAGGTGAATGACAGATTCCAGACTAATATGAAATAGAAATAAAGATTATTTTTCCATTTCAACTTCTTAAAATGAGTACTGCTGTTGGTATTAATAACTCAGAAAGGTAAAAAAATTAAGATCTGAACTATCATCAAATTTTGTATTTACTACAGAGGTCTGGACAAAAGCAGGAATTACAGGAACAGTGACACCAGTGGGGGAAGCAATCCTTGAAGAGATTTTTCTCTTTGTTTCACTGCCTCCCTAGTTTACTATATTAAAAACTGTGTCCAGTTAATCAAGTCAGTCAATTCATTATCAATATTCAAAACATGCACTGGTTAACTGCACATCAGGATTCACTGTAAGGACTAGCAATGGATATGAGCAAATAAAACTCATTTCCAGCTCATGCATTACTACATATGCCTAAAAAAATGTGACTTCTTTGGATCTGTGCATAGAATCTTAGAAAAAATTGGGCTGGAGAAAACCCCAGAGGGTGCAGTCTCCTCCTCGAAGGAGAGATAACCTCAAAACTGGGATAGCTTCCCCAGAATTCAATAGACTAAGGTCCCACATTTCCTTATTTAAAGGTTTCACGACAATAATCCAGATTTTTTTCTATATACCCAACGGGAATTTCCCTTGTTTGAACTTCATTCACATACTCAGTTTCGCTCTTTACCCACATGAGTTTGGGTTGTTCTACTCTAGAACTTATCACCAAGTGTCAGAAGAGAGCAGACCCATTGCTCTGAATAAACCATCCTGATTCTCTTAACCATCCTGAACTCTCTCTACTACTCTCTACTCTTTAACTACTCTCACCATCAGAAAAGCTCTGCAGAAGAACTGTCTGCATAAGCATGACACGAGTTTAAAGCTTTGCTTCCACTGGTTAAGGGACAATAACCCTCTTTTCCTTGAACGGATAGACTGAAGCCACAAAAATCAGGCTGTTCTTTGTAAGATTACACAGACTTAGTCAAGGGCAATACAGATTTACTGGTTTAACAGTGTTAATTCACCAAAACAGAAAACTACAGCCAGCACTACGGCTTAAGCATGTCAAGTGTGTTGCTAAGTATCTGCTCATATAACCTATGACAGAATTATGCTTAAGCAGCAATTTAAAACAACCACTCATGTTGTACTCACCCTTTCGAAACACCAGTTCTGTCAGTGATTACTTTCACCTCCTTCACAGCACCGTACTGTTCAAAGACAGTCCGAATTTCTGCCTCTTTCATCTAAAAGAAAACGAAGTCTTTAACTTCTTCAAACACATTCAACTGCTTAGAACTGACTTAAAGTAAACAGTACCAGCTTTTTAAGCCCATCTCCTACTAGCTTAAGAACTAAAGGTTTGTTTTGGCACACCTGTTCCAAAATTCTCCCATGGCTTTTCAATACTTTAAGACTGGTAAAATGCACACATGAAAAAAAAAAACAAACAAACTCCACCACCACTACGCAAAAAAGCCCTTCACAAAACCAGAGTTAAATTTCCATTTTCTTCCCACTGAAGTACATATCTTAAACAATATTAAAAGTGTATGAAAATAAAAATACCCTTAAATCAATTCCACCAACGAAGACTGTGTTTGGCATGATTTTTCCTTCTGGTAAAACATAACCTTGACTGACTGTTGATGAATAGGTGTTACTCTCTGAGGCACTTGCACACTGGGTCTCCACATTTACAGACTGAAAAATATCAACAAAAATACTTATTACAGTCAACCTATTACACTTTAAGATATCAGAATGCCTGCAGCTTCCTGTAGATATCACACAGACATAAACCACAAAAATGAAGCAAAAAGTGAGAAGACCACTTCTTTGGCTGCCTACCCAGCTAAAGGGCATTTGAACTGCAACCTCAAACTGACGTAACTGTTGGCTTCTTTCTTTCTAGATCTGTCCCAGCAAACCACGACAGAAGTAGTATTCACTTTGCTGTGCAAATTCTCTGGTAGCCTAGAACAGGAAACAGCTCTCAGCAGAAGTAGCCACCCAGCAAGAAGCAGAACCAGCACAAGGAAGCAGGCTGGTGCACAGATACTGCTGGTACACCTGCCATACACACCCTTGGCTGCCGTGGAAGAGGAGCATTCCTGTCTCGCTAACGATGCAGAACAGAACCTTCAAGGATAATACACTTATTTAACCCTTTTACACATTAAATAGCTGAAAGAAAGAATGAACAGGCTACTTAGAAAGAAAGAATGAACAGGCTACTTAGACGTTCTGGCAATTTGGTAAGCATCAAAAATAAGCTTTAATAGTTGTTAGTACAAGTGTTTCTTAGAACTTGGAAAAGAAACATGAAAAATGCACAGGGGTGAGAGCCTCACAGTATGAGCACAAGAAACACAATCTTCCTTTAAAGCTAATTTTCAAGACTTCAGTACTCTGATGCAAAACTTTTGCCAATTCAAAAATAAATTTCAGCTTACTATAATTAACAAATCTTTTTCCTTTTCTCATCACAAGGTAAAATTAATCAGTTTGCTCTCTTCATTATTCCAGCAAGCATGAAGTTTAAGTTGATGCCTGGAAATTGGACTAACGTCCTCATTACAGTAGTCTTTTGGCAAAAGAAAAGGTGAAAATGGACTATTGTTGGGGCCAGGTGGCTGCTCAAATGGGCTGCAAACATCGCTCAATTTAACGCTCATCTAGGAGCGAAAACCTTTTCTTCTGGCCACAAATGCACAAGCCCCCAGTTTCTCAGGCTTCCCGCCGGCCTCAACACGCTCTTTGTTTAAAGTAAGCATTACACTTCCTGCCCTTTTTTTTTTTTTAACATTTAAACCCTATGATTCTCGTCCCGCTGCGCAGTTTCCATGACAGCGCTCCCACCGCAGCCTTCCCGATGGGCACTAAGTGGAGCCCTCAGCCCAGCACTGCACGCTAACAGCTGAAACTAAAGAGGCTTAAAAAAAAAAAAAAAAAGAACACTTTACTCGTATACTGTTTGAAGCGTCTACGCTTCAGTCCCAAGTCTCGGTGTTCAAATTAAAAAAAACCCCAAAACACTAAGAACAAATAGGAAGCGAGCTGTCGGAGCGCGCTCCGACGGCAGCTGCTCCCGCTCCCCTCACGGCGCCCGCAGCGCACTGGGCGAGGGCGGAGTTTGTTTCTGGCGGGTGAGGGAAGCCAAAACGAGGAACCTCGGGCGAGCGGGGCCCGTGGTGCCGCCGCCATTTTACGCCCTCGCACCTCAGATATCCAGCGCCGACGTGGCGCGGGGAAGGAGGTTTCGCACTCCTCAGATCCTCTGAGGATCCTCTCTGAGGATCTGAGGAAGCTGTTCAGAAGCCCCCGACAAGGGTTCCCGCCGACCCTAAGCGCGGCGGCGTACGCCGCCCGGGGACAGGCGAAGCGCCGTGCGCAGGAGAGCAGCACCGCGGCAGCGAGGAGCTGAATCCATATGGCAGCGCCGCCGCCATAAAATGGCCGGTCATGGGTGTGAAGGGCGGTCCGTCGCCAAGCCCTCGCCAGACCGTAAGGCCGACCCCCAGCCTCCCTCGCACAACTCCGTGGCTTTTCACTCGCGGCATTCCCTCCATAACCTTAACCCCTCATCTCGTTAGATTTTAAAACCTTCAAAGTGTTTTAAATGTTAGTAGCCGTCAGGGGCTCCTCCCCGTCACAGCGCTATAAGGCAACATAACCCCACCTGATTACCCTCTCTGTAAAAAATTTCTTCCCGGTGGCTCCGCGTTCATGCGCCTCGCATTACCTCCCAGCACCCCAGTACCCTCTGTCCCGGGACGGCGCCCCTTTCTCTTCCCTCCACCTACCATAATTCACCAAAGCCGAGGCTGCGCCCACACACCAAAAAATGAGGCTTTTAAAACAAAAGAAAAATTATATTTTTTGAGAAAAACTGGGGACAGTTTAGCCAGGTCCTCAGTGTCACCTGTGAGTGAAACCGAGACCCCCCTGCGGCCGCCTTCTTAAGTAGCCCCAAGTGGAAAGGGGCGGGGAAGAGGGCGGGGGTGGCTTTCCCACATTCGTTTTCTCCGCCCCTCATGGAGCTCCCTGCAGGGGGTGGCGGCGGTGGTGGTGCTGCACATGCTTCAAAAAAGGGCAACGGAAAGGACGGCGGCAGCAGCAGTGGATGGTCTAGTTATCCTTGCTTGAAATAACTGGAGACAAAGGGATGGCGGCAGCAGTAGTGGATGGTCTTATTGTCCTTGCTTAAATTACCTGGAGACAAAGGGAC